CTCAACTCGCTCACATACCCTCCCACGAAGATGTTGGTGAAGGCTCAAGTCGTACCAATGCTGGGGACACTGAGCAGGCACCCTTGTTGAACACGGACGACCTCGATCAGGTTCCACCTCCGGAGTACTCGAGCCCAGATGGCAGCCGAAGAGGTAGCGATGATATCCCTTTCGAGGATCAGCCTCCGATACCAAGCTACGATGTTGCGGTGGGCAACCGTAATGATCACGGTCCTTACACGGATGAGGGTCCTTGAGGGTGCTCTTCCTTTCGTTCCGTGATGTTCGTCCATATGTTCCGGGTGTGTATATGGTGTGGGGTAGCTATTGAATCTGTCGGTATATTTATTCTGTTCATCTATTTTTAGCGGCCACGGCTGGCGTTTCTTCTCAAGGCGAACTGGTTTTTAGGCTGGGTTTCATGGGTTCGCCGCTAGATGTGGCAATGATGTTCTGGCTTTCCTTTGCGTATATACGGCTCGGTCACGGTGTTGTTCGTTTGCGATTTGGCTTTGGAGTCATCATCTCTCACGGACTCTCAGGCGCAAAGCTGTGACTTCCGTTTCTGCGCGGCGTACGACGACTTCTTTTCCTCTTGGACTTCAGCGTGTCCAATGCGACAGTGTCGATGATGATATCCCCAAGTTTATCTTTCTTTTTCTTTTTTTTTTTTCTTACTGGTGTCTGCACAGTACAAAATCCACCATTCACCTGATGCTATTCTTGAGCACTTGGGTGTTCTTCTGTAAGGCATGCCTTGGCCTGTCGCTGGGCTTTCTGAATTCGCACGTGGGTTCTTTTATAGCAACCGAACTAAGCGCTTGTGTGGATCATAAATATCGAAGCCATTAGCCACGTGCCATGCTATCGGGGCGGAGCTTCACTTGAGAATAACATCCATGATGTTTGGGGCGTAGCGACGGCCGGATTGAGATTGTTGAGGAAGGAAAAGCATGCGCCAGCCGCTTGGTTTAATAGTGGTTAATCCTTGCTGCAAGGAGGTTCAACTTAATGGTCAGACCTGTCAAAGACCTGTCAAGTCAATGGCACGGTGAGAATTGAATCAACGATGTGTTCGAGCAATCTGGGGTAAATAAATTGACTGAAGGAGATAACAGAGAAGGAGATCAGAAGGGTCCTGTAGACAGTGAGTGGTTCGTGGGGTTAAAACTTGGAGTCTAGAATCGAAGTTAACTTTACTTACTCAGTAACTTGCCCCGTAACTTGAGTTACCCACTGCTCCGCCCATCGAACTTTGAACCAACCGGGCCCCGGGTGGAAATCACTCTTTCCTCTTTTCTTTTCCTTTCCCCCGCCTCCCCTTTTAGTTTGAGGCTGTTGATTTTCTTCTTTCCAGATTGTTATATTGGTTGATTCAACCTTTCCTTCCGCTATGTTTCATTGAGTGTAAGAGGAGATAAGAGCAGCGGAGGCTAACTTACTCATACTAACTAACTTATCAACTTATCGTCTCACGTCATTACCCGCCAGCCAGCCTACAATTGATTGCGTTGTACAGTATCTGTACTGTCCTTACTTTTTCTTTTTTTACCTCAACTTGTCCTCCAACAACTCACCCCCTCCTACTACCTTTACTTTTGGCAGATTTCTTTTTAAAATTCTTGACATCCTTGAATCGCGTCGCTCCTCTTGACACGAGAAGGCAATCGACTGGTACAAATTTGCCCTCCAAACGAGGGGCGCATTGCGAAATCCTCGTCCAGCTGCTAAGTTATCGTCGGCGTCATCGGGTGCTCGATCCGTATTTCCCCTTCCCCACAGGTCCTCGTCTCTTCCTCTCTTAATTCACCACCCGACCCCGAAGATACCCCAGTTGATATCTAATAAGTGATCGACCCTATCATACGCATGTATCGCAACTCTACTTCTGCTTATCTCGTGTCTCCGTCCCCCGGCGGCTTCCCTGATACAGTGCCCGACTTTGAAGGCATTACTTTACGAGGCTTTTTGATCGCCAACGCTCCTCCGCCCACTTGTCAGCCACCAAATCATTGGGGCCCTTAGGGTGCGCATTAGCGTCTTGCTCCCAACCATTGGGGTGTGCCAGAGCTGTGCCCCAGATTCGTGGGGTAGCACCACCGGGACCCTTTCAAATCTCTCGCTGACTGTCACTTCAACTGGAGGAGGACAACCAGTTGGGTCTACCGTTTCTTTCCTCCGTTTCCTTGTCCTGGTGACACAGCTTCGAGTAAGGAACCTTTTACCTGCTCGCGACAACCGCCGGAAGGTCAAGTCAAGAAGAGCGGCGCTTCTTGTACCGTAACCAACCATTCTGCGACCAACCGCTCTGTCGCGGAGAGTCTACGGTCACATCACACGCTTCTCACTGGAACTATCTTGAATACCGTTGAACCTCTACCGGCTAAGATACTTTTCCACTTGCCAGAGAACGCTTTGGACGCAGATTAGACTCTAGCAGAGACTGACGCGTAGGCCGCAACCACCAGCGTCATAAATCCCATTAGGGCGTGTTTCCGTGCAGGAGGTCGGCCATTTGGAGGGGGCGAAGAAACCACTTAACTAGGAACGGGAGAAGTGTGAGTCAAAAGCCTGTCATACGTGCTACACCATTCCTTCGTTGCTTTTCTATGCTCACAAGATGATCCCATCAGACATGGCTCGAAACATGCAGCAAGTGGGGGACCGCGATGGTGACGCAACGCCTTCCAGGGGCAGTGAAGGAGGAACCTCAGGTTTGCAAGTAGTTGTCTTGGTAAGTTAGCCGCGACTTGTGTGTGTATGTCTCATACCCTGTTCCTACCAATCGATCTATATGGCTTGTTCTCCGGTTTGATATGCTATGCTGAGAAATGCCGGCCTCAATCCTCTGGACTTGCTCCACCCTCACTATGCGGCCTGGCACCTTCTCGCTGCATCTGTGCGGCTCTCATGGTGTGACTTCTCTCCGGTTTCATTCGGTGTCGCCTGCATGCAAGAATTCGTGACTAACAATTGAATGAAAGGGCCCAACGGGAGGTCCACGCGAAGATCGGGTAACAGGCTTACTAGTTCGCTCGACATCGAGTAAATGGTCGGCAAATTCGGTAATCGCAGTGGATGCAGGGACCCTTCTCTGCGGAGTCATCAACATTCTCGAGCAATTCGACAATCACCAAGCTGTCTTGGATGTCGGACCATTCAGCGGCCTCGAGCTGCCTTGTAACAATGCTCCTGCGAACGCAGCACATTTCTTCCGCCACACTATCGGTGCCATTCTCATCACACATCCCCACCTGGACCATCTTTCAGCGTTCGCAATCAATACGCCAGCCTTGGAAGCTGGAAATGGCGCGAAAACAATTGCGGCTCTGCCGTCCGTGGTCACTGCCATCAAGACCCACGTATTCAATGATGTGATCTGGCCTAATTTGTCAGATGAGGAGGGGGGCGCTGGACTGGTTACTTATCAGCGCCTACGCGAGGGAGGCGAAGCGATGCTGGGAATTGGTGATGAGAGGGGATACAAACGAGTATGTGAGGGATTGGTGGCGAAGTGCTTTGGTGTTAGCCATGGAAGCTGCAGACTGCATCCTCCTACCGAGAACGACGTCCACCATCGGCTGAGCAGCGCAGCCTATGGCCCGGGTCCGATGAAAATCAGTCATGGGGGCTTTTCATTTTCTACGGATGAGCTAGACACAGGGTAAGCTTAGATGTAGACTCACTGGTTCGCGCATCGAGTGGTACTAACTTGAGGTCAGATACTATTCTCCGGTGGACTCGCCTGGTCTTCGGGGTCCTGGGAAAGAAAAATGGACCACAGTCGAAAGCTCTGTCTTCTTCATACGCTGTCCGGTCGCAAAACGAGAAGTGATGATCTTTGGAGATGTTGAACCTGACTCGATCTCCCGGAACCCGCGCAACAAGCGCGTCTGGGAAGTAGCGGCACCGAAGATTGCTAGTGAGCAGCTGCGCGCGATCTTTATCGAGTGTTCCTACAACGATGACGTTGAGGACGATTATCTTTACGGACATCTTTGTCCACGACATCTGATCACCGAGTTGACAGCGCTTGCGAGCATTGTTAAGGAGATCAAATTTCCGGAATCCAATGCAATCAAGAAACGCAAACCTGCCTCCGCTCCCGATGTGGGTACAGATGTACCCCTCAGCCCCAAATCAAAGAGACTGGCTCTCACGGGAGAGAAGGGCCAATCTTCGAGCCGCCGAGGATCCAACCGAAGCACCCGTCGCCACACCCGTGCCAAGGCATCATTTGAGGAGCCCGATGAGAAGCTAGAAGGAGGAAGCCCAACTGTCTCACAACCTGCGACTGATGTTGGGATCAATACACAACTCGCCGAGAGTTCTGATCCTCTCACTACACACACATGGCCGGAGCCGCCCCTGGCTGGATTGAGGGTCTATGTTATCCATATCAAGGATCATCTGACCGACGGTCCCCCTGCAGCGGAACGCATTCTTCATGAACTCCAAGCTCAGGGAAAATCTGCCGGGCTGGGGTGTGAATTCCGTGTTCCTGACCGGGGGGAGAGCATCTTCATCTAGATTGGTTGTATGGCCATTCTCTGCTTACATGAGGTTATCTCTAGATGTCTGGTCAGCAGGCAGCATCATAAATATGTGCTTCCGAGGCTGATCGAGGCTGTCATTCAGCTGCCCCGAGAAAGGCATTTAGCCTGCGTTGTTTTAATTCTTAATACTGGATAGAGTTCTTTGAATACCCACATTTACTAGGACGTGGTTTTACTCGTGGTCTACGCGTTCTGTTGAATATTGCTGCTAGCAGCTATTGTTATTACTTGGCTGTTTTCTGTCACGAAGTGTATTGTTAGTACATCAGTTTTGACTGCCTTACACGGGCTCAATGAGGCTATTATACTAGCCTACTAACATGACATATTATCAGCACCGAAACGTAGTCCCCTTGTTCTGCAGAAACCCTCCACATGATCACAATCACAAAAAATCGCAGGCAATGCTTGTTGTTGACAGCTCATCGACATATCATCTTTCGTTTATTGTTCAGATATCAAGCGGTACTTGCCTTTTTGGTCAACTCGATAATATCCTCCCACAACGCCCCCTCCCCACCGAGGAACCTTGGTACCTCCTCCTCCTCCTCCTCCTCCTCCTCCTCCCCCTTCAGCAGCCCCCAACGCCCCCTCCAACTCCGTCGCAAAAGTAATCAACTCCTCCTCCTTCCCCCACTCCGCCATCGCCATCAACCCGACCGGGACCTTCCCACCATCACCACCATCAGCATCCACCCACCCGACGGGACACGAAATTGCCGGACACCCCGTGAAATTCGCCAACCAGACATACTCCATATTCCGAACCGAGGCACCTCCATCTGACAATCCGCGCGTCAGATCCTCTGGCCTGTGGATCTTCCAACCGGGGATCGGGGTGGTGGGCGTGCAGATTATCAGCCCGGGATGTCGCTGGAACAAGTGGGCCAGATGTGCCATGAGGCAGTGGCGGAGGCGTTGGGCGGCCAGGAAATCCTGGCCGGTGATCTGGTACATGCCCATGGAAACGAGGACCTTGTTGGGAGCGGAGAGGTGGCTAATTTGGGCGGGTTGCAGGCCGGACGCGATTTCGGCCATGATGGTCAGGACGTGGGCGCGTTGGCCTTCGGGGAGGTAGGGAATTTCCAACTCCCTGGCTTCGTGGTCTGCGGTGGTGATGAGATGGGTGAGGGCTTGGTCGAAGCAAGTGCGGACGGTGGGGTGGGCGCGGTCGAGCCAAGCGGGGATTAGGCCTATTGTTCTTGGGGGTTGGCTTTCTTGAATCGTTGAAGGTGAGGAGGATGGTGGTAAAGTTGACAGTGGGGGCGGGAAGGCGGCGGAGATGGGGTCCTGGGCTGCGGGAGCGGGCGTTGCCATGATGCGGTAGGCCAGAGCGAGGTCGTCAAGGCTGCTGGCCATCGGGCCGTAGACGCCCACCGTCGGTGCCAGCGAGACGGTCGGCGTGCCGCTGATGCGGCCGTGCGTGGGCTTCAAACCCCAGATTCCGCAGAAGGAGGAAGGGATACGAATCGACCCACCGCCGTCGGCGCCAAGGGCGATGGGCACCAGACCGGCGCTGACGGCGTGGCCAGAGCCGCCAGATGAGCCGCCGCAGTAGTAGTCGTGGTTGTGGGGATTGCGTGGGGTCCCGTAATTGGGGTTGTTGTTGTTCGTATCTGGATGGTGTGTTGTTTTCTTGTCAGGTCTCTCCTGATCTCTTATCGAAAGAAGATAGAAGGGGGGGAATTACCTAGCCCCAGCTCATGCATGGTCGTCTTCCCGATGATGATCGCCCCCGCATCCTCCCATTGCTTCGCGCACCAAGAGGTCCCCTGATACTTTCCCTTGAAGTCGATCTTGCTGCCCAGCGTCCGCTGGTATCCCTCCAGGTGCACCTCGTCCTTGACGGCCACGGGCACTCCATCCATCGGCCCCAGCGGCTGGCCCGCCTTGTACCGCTGCGTCGACGCCGCCGCGGCCGCCCGAACCCGCTCGGCCTGCGACTCTAGAAACGCGACCGAGTGTTTGCGGCCGCCCTTTTGTTCCTCTGCGGAATCCAAATCGCGCCGGATCAGGGGTAACAAGGCCTCGACCACGGCCGAGGGCGTCAATTGCCCCGACTGATATAGAGCCACATAGTCGGCGGAGGTGTAGTACCCCGTGTGATCTTTCCGTCTCTGGGTCGGGACGGGTAGTGGTACGGTCGTCGTCGTCGTAGTTGATGCCGATGAGTCGAGGACCGGAATTACGGTGGGGTCGTAGCGCGGGGTATAGTCGTCGAGAGGGAGAACGCGGATGACGTTGAAGCCGGCATTGCGCCAGAAGTAGTCCTGGATGAAGCCGACGTGCTGGATCCTGCACGGTTTGAGGTGGCTTAGCTCTTCTTGTTCTTGTTTTTAAAGGCGCGCGCTGGGGGAAAGGAAGGCCGCTGAAGGCACAGGCTGGAAATCACTCGGTGGCAGCGATAGGTAGAGGAAGACAGTTGTAGCTTACAGGCTCGCTCCAATTGCTAGAGGCATGCCTCGGAAGACTGGGATCACTTGGTCTTCATTTTTATAGGGGACGGAAGGGCCTTCGCGTACTTCCGGATATTGAAAGAATTGGGGCTTTGCGCTCATGATGCGCGTAATTTCGGTGGCACATTCGAGGTTTGGAGAGTGCGAAAAAGAGTATGAAGAAGAGAAGGTGGGTGGGTGGAGGGAAGAAGTACAGTACGTACAGTAAAGTACTGTACGTAGTGGCTCCGCTCAAACCCGTCGAGCCAAATTAATTCCCCACATGAGCTCCTCCTTTGTCTGCGGAGCCGCGGCTCACCATGTGCGTGCTTCGATGCTAAATCAACCGGACAATCTACCGTGTACCATCATTCATCTCTCTGGTGGATCAGTGAGAAGCACTATAATCTTGTCTGATTGATCAATATACACTCATCATCTAATACAATATTTGCACTTTCTTTCTCGCGCGTCAGAGTGCCAATTTGATACCAGCTCCGTCCAGCCCCAATGCAACCCCCGTCAGGATTGCGAGATACCCAATCAAAATGACCATGGCTTGAGCGGTATTGAGGTCCAAGGTAGGAACGCTAAGATTCACCGCGCCGGTGAGAAGGTTGGCCACCAAGAACACCGCCAGTCCACCCTTGTTGAAGGCCGAAAGGATCGGGCTGGTTGCATAGGAGACCCGCTCCGCTTCGCCCTCTCTTCCCAACGTCCGATGGACGGATGGGAAGAAGACTGTCTCCAGGAGACAGAACACGAAAAGCTGTGCGTTGTTGAAAGCCGACACCCATACTACGTATGGCATGTTGGCAAGGCGCCGCGACACCGGAAGATTTGCGCCGTAGCCCAACGCATACGTCGAGTTGAGCAGGAATATCACGGTCCAAACCAGAGTCTGGCCTCCCAAGGTAGCTAGCACACGTTTCCTGGCCTGTTGCGGGGTGGTGGACGGGGATGTGCCGCGCGGCATGATCCTGATGCCAATAGCCCGGCCAGCCAGGAAGATCGCAAAATACCCTACGAACGAGAAGACCCCTTCCCGATTCTTGGAGAGCAAGTCGGGTCCCCGGGGAGCGACCAGTATATAGCTCTTCAGGTCAGTGGATTCCAGAGCCACCTGATACAAAGCCGCAACCCCAAGGGACAAGAGCTCGTAGGATGGGACCAGCGCCGCGAGGGCGTCAAAGATCTCAACAAAGGGAGGCAAGAAGCCTAGGGTGAAAAAGAAGTTCCAATGCACGCCATATTCCGTCACATGCTCAGCATAGTCGAGACCTTTGACACTGTACAGTCGGATCAGCCCCAGGGCGAGCAGAGGAATGGAGTGGCGGGTCGAGGCCACCAGTCGCTGGCCCAGGGACTTCTTCGGGCCTCCCATTTGACGACTCTTGAGAACTGAGCGAGCCGAGACCACCCCTCCAGAGAACACAAACGACCCAACTCCCAGATCCATGAGCGAGGTTCCCCAATTTTCGACTTTGGCAAATCTCCTAGGGAACACACGGAAGTCCACGGCCAGAATGGCAGCACAAGTGATTACCATCATACATGCCCGATAGGTTGTCAAATAAGGGAGAATTGGGAGGGAGTGATCGGGCTCGGATTCACTTTTCTTCGATACCGAAGCCTGCGGCGGTGGCTTGGCCTTTTTTTGAGCGGGTTGGGGTCGTGAATTGAGCAGCAGCAGTAAAGCCGGAGCGAGAAGAAGAGCGTTTAGAGTCCATGGTGCTGCAGAATACACGGTGGTTGCAAAGAGAATCGCAAGGATATTGAGTAGGAAATCGGTGACCAGCGCCGCGGAGGTGTATGGAGAGAAGAAGGAAAGGCGGGATTGGAGGACGGACCAAAGAAGGATGGCGGCCTAGAAGATATCATGAATCAGAAGAGAAAGAGAAGAGACGAGATGAGGTGAGATGAGGCAGGTTGAGTTTGATAATTAGTACACACTGGGGTCATTTTCAGATACTGGACATGTGTACACAACATACCGGAGCTACCAAGGTCACCGCATTAATCTCGAGGATGCTCCCACCGGTTAGATTGGACACAAAAGCCTCCTTACGGGCTTTGTAGCTCGGATCCATGGGCTGATATCGCTGAGCGCCTTGAAGAGAAGCCAGAAGTTAATCTTGCATTAGTGTGGGTGTTTGTCGTTGAGAATGGGGACAAGTGGGTTGCGAATAATTGATGAATGAAATGGAAGCGGAGAGCAGAAGCATAACAACAACTGGCTGCCGAGTTCAAAATGGCCAAATCAGGTAAGTACAATTGTCCGCGGCGCCGGGTCTCCCCGCCTTCCTGTCGCCCAGTTTTTCATAATATCACAACAAACAGCGCTCTTGTTATCTTCAGAGAATTGATCAAGCTAGAACACACCCTCGTGTGTTTCCCGGCTATTACCATCTCTCGCATGGTCTTCTTTCATCCTTTTGATTCCCTGCGTAGCCCCCCCCCCTGGCAAATCACGAGACAACGGCCTGATAGCGAGCTGACACACCCCGGTCTATAGCGGTCTCCTGTTATTAGTGTCGTCATGACCTGGTCTGCATTGTCTCGTCTCCAAATCAAGTCCGATGAGCTTGCATCATCCAGCAGTTTAGTCGATGTCTACGACGTACATCTTACACCTTACACCCCTCACTTGGGCCACGAAGCGCACAAAGGAATCTAGGACAAAGCGCTCGAACACGTGCAATAGATAGAAAGCAACGATCATGCCCACGGCTATTATGCACGGCTTTTGGGCCTTCTCGTGCTGATCAGGGTGTGTATGAACATTCCCTGCGTTCTGCTCCAGCTTCATAAATTGTACACCCAGTCCTGCGGTTCCAGGGAACTACGGGATGTTCGGATACGATGGGAGCAGGGAACGTAACAAGCATGCAACGGAGGTTCTCCGGGGCGTGACATGTACGCAGTCGTAGGCTGCGTAGCTCTGCATGCTCTGCATGCTCTCATGCTCAAAGCGAGGCCGTTATAGATTTCTTCAAAGGCGCAGTAGCGCTTCTGGCGTTGGACAAGATGGAGAGACTTCTGCAAAGTCGATCGAAATTCAGACAAAACTGTCTTACTACTGCTCTACCAGGTCTCACTACGATGCAGCCTGAAATGATGCTATGCAGCTGCTATCAGCGCAACTGCAAGGCTCTCTAGTATTGTCCAATCGATGGATCACTCTCCGAACTCCTAGCCCCTCGCCACCAATAGCCGGTATTCGATCGAAATCGCACCAACGTCATGGCTGGCTCAGAGGCTGCTCCTTGACTTCAGTTCAATTCATCGTTCTATTTTGGATTTCTGAAATCGGTTGCTTTTGCCGGAAGCTTCTTCTGGGCGAATGATGATCGGTAGTCGTCGCGGCAGTGGTCGCGACAGGATCTCTTTTATCCTTCAAGTGCTGCAGTCTTTGGGCTAACGGCATACGAGACGAGTCTTGAAACAAAATTGGAGGCATTTCAGCATTAACCCAGTGCCCACTGAACAGCAGACAGAGACCATGCGTCATGCATTTAAAATCAGCCATCCGTATTCCAATTCGTCGCAGATCAACGCTGGCTTGTCTTGAAGTTGCCTGCTGTTTAGACCGGCACCAGCAGTTAGTACAAGTCACCACAATGCGGCGATGCGCTACGGCCGAGAAATCGTGCTTCTGCGATTATTCGATGGGCTTCTGTTGTACGAGTTCCAGCCTTTTCGGCTCCTCGCCGTATCCCGATTGACCTTTTAAAGTTCTCCTCGTCTCCGTTCGGTTCAGCGAATCGACTTCTCATTTCAAGGAGGCTAAGATAAGGGGGTTGAGGGGTGGATCCGATCTACTCATCCTCGTGGCGAGCACCATTCAGATGCAACCATGGAACCGGCTTAGCGAGAGCTTAGTGATTTCACTGAGACTGGGAGAGACTTTCGCAACTTCTCTCAGCTCCCACCAAATCTGGAAAAAATCTTGTCGCGGAGATTTCGGGTTTCGGAAATAGCTCACCCTTTTGGGATTAGGTTAGATCTTACTCAGTAAGTCTCACTGGCGCTAAGACGAGGGATGCGCAATTCGTTCACGATCACAAGGCTAGATAGACACTAGAAGGGTCCACGTTCAGCCGATGGTCATTTATGCTAATTGCCGGCTGAGATCTAAGGATCGCTGACTGCGCAGCACATTCCACATAGAGGTCGCAGATCGCCAGAACTGTGCATTCGGAGCTTCGATACGTACGTGGTTCCTGCTACTACTCACACACGCTTCGCCCATCCAAGCCCACTGTTCCAGGTCCGCTGGCCTGCTTCTAACCCTTACAGAGAAGGTCGGTTGTGCCCCAGCGATGCCCCATCGCCCTAAGAGCGGCCCCCTCCCCCCCTTCAATTGCCACTTTTTGTTCTTCGGTCAGCTCCCAACCTGTCGGAGACAAACTTGCCAAGAAGCTCTCAAAAGCCAATTCAAGCCCTTGAGTGTTTTTTACTCTGGCGAGGCCATGACATACTGAGGTTTTCTTTTGTTCCCGCTTAGAGGGCCGTATCCGCCGCTCAATCGGGGTTGCCATGTGGCCCGGATAGACTAAGATCCACCGATTGGCTGACCTCTACCTATGGGAGGGACAATGCTCTGGATGCTTTTATTCCCACAATGCTGCTTTCAGTCAGTGCTGCAAGGACAAATGACACCCTGCCAGATCTGCTTTCATCTGGTCTGATACGATGCAGCGGTGTTTAGCAGTGTCGGGCACCTGACGAGGGAGAGGGGCGACGCAGTCCGTCGCAGCAGCCATTTCATCACAAACCCCGGCTAGGCTGTCTAATCTCTAGTTTGCCTAGACACCTCCCCCCTCCCTCCCCAAGATCCTTGGAGTATGCTTGTAGCTTAGTAGGTTGGGAAGAGAGAGGTGGGGGGAGGGGAGGCGGAGGTCGGCAAAGCACACATAGCGCAGCGCCGGAACAACCCCGTCGTAATAGCGTGCTGACTACTTACTACTGACCTACTATACAGGGATTTCAGTGACAAAGCCTTACTCATTGGCCCTGTTAGAGGCTAGAAAAGAAGACCATTGGGAATGACCAGTAATGTTGGGGAAAATTTCACACAGAGGACAGCAGGCGGGGAAATCCCCTTCTCCCCTCTTAGTCTCAAAATATTCCCTCTTTTGCTATGTACACGATCTACTAAGGTTCCCCCCGGAGGGGGCTTTACCTTTACAGTTTACGTGCCTAAACCTGCGCGCGAATCTGGCGGCCTTCCGGAATGGGGCTTCACAGCCCGAGCCAAAATGGGTCCATTTCCTAACCATAATTCTCAACAACGATTACTAACTTATCTTAACCGCCTGTCTTGTTTTTGATTAAAATCCGGTGGCTCCTTCTTGTCCCGCTGGAAACATATATATATAGCTAGTTTAGTGCGACCCACGCATTCGGAACAGCTATAGTCGCATCTTGAGAGAACTGCTTCTCTCTAACTTCTCTGTCTTCCTCTGGGGCCTATCGCACCCCCATTCACATATATTCCTGTCCCATATGACTGTCGCTTCTTTGGCCACTGAGACTATCAAGCTGACTACGAGTCGGTTAGCAGAATGAGCCCTGCCCCGGAACCTCCGCAGACGAAGAAACGCGAATCGCGTGCTGGAGCACGGAAAGTGACGTCGCTCTCTGCCGAGCAACTAGAAAGGAAGCGTGCCAATGACCGTGAGGCTCAAAGAACCATTCGTCAGCGGACAAAGGAGCATATCGAGCGTCTAGAGCATCAGGTGGCTGAGCTGAAAATCAAAGGAGACCGGTTCGACGAGATAGTCCGACGAAATACTGCAATGGAGATGGAGATTCGTTCCCTAAGACACCAATTAGCCCTGGCCACAGGCAGACAGGGTCATTCAAGCCTGGGTGAGTGACAAAGTGTATTCCTCCATATAGGCCACCATGCCCCAATTGCTGATCATCATGTTTATTGCTTGTCAGATGGCTCATACAGCACCCCCTCCGGGTCCATGCTACCTTCACCTCATCTCCCGGACTCCTTGAGCTTGAATCCAGCTTCCAGGGCGGCCTCGGTGCTGTCCACATCAAGTCGAACATCCATTGCTCCCGAGTGGCAACCATACGGTTCAGCTCGGACATCTTCCGTAGGGGAACCTTCGGACACAAGCTATGGGGCTAGGCTCGAGCCATATGTCTATGAAAGTCACATTCAAGCGCCCAACCCGCTACCGGTCGCTTCAGCCCATATCAGTTACAATCCTTCCCTCTGTGCACAACCGGCCCAGCCTCCTGATGCGGGTTACCCGCCTTACCCGCAGGGCTACCACCCCGAGGCTATTCGTGGTCTCGGGCAGGAGAGCTCACACCACACCCAACCCCAAATACCCTGTGTTCCAGGTCAACGATCGATGTCGGTGCCAACTTGTTCTTCAGAAAGAGAATCATCGGGGTATCCTGTTGTCCAGGCACCACAGCAATATCACGAGCATACCATCCCGTCACATTCGACACAACCGAGGAACGAGTATAGCTATGACTGGAGCCATCATCAATCGTGACTTTTGGAGAATCAGAAGAGGCCCAGAGGCTACACAATCCAGCGTAATATGATCCGTGGCAAGCGAGGAAATCCACTCGTCTCCCTTGTCCAGCGGGAAAGGGCGCGGATAATGCACATTGATTTGGATTAAAAGATCAGTCCGAGTTTGGATTTGACTGCTCGGTCTCCGGGATCTTGCAGCAGCCGCGAGATTATCCAGACCACCCCCTCCCGCAACCCTGCCTTCGGACTAAAGCGCCCGGGAGGTCGGCTCGTTAGGCAGGCCCAACCCAAAGTTTCGGCACAGCATCCCCAACTTTTTCGATGCAGGAGATACGCCACGAGCTTGGCACTTCTTTCACCGGCATGATTGGGACGATGTGTACGATTGGGCGTCCAAAAAAAGGATGTATGACCAAGTCCGTGGAGTCAGAGATAAGCGAAAGTCAACATTATGCAAGGCTGCAAGATCCGTTTGTTCGAGAAGCGAGGGTGAAATCAAACCCACTTGCTATTACCAAATTTCCGGAATGTGAATGGCGGCGAATGGAGCAAACCACGGTACTGGGCCGGAGCCCGGCTCGGGGAGGAACCGGTTACAAACCCACGTACCCGGGTGCAGTCATTATCATCAACACCTTGAGGCTCTGCACACAAGCCACGAGCTACCCAGGAATAGACAACAAGATTTCTGCTTGATGCAAAGCATTCACCTGAAGTGCCGGGGCTGGCGGGACTCCAAAGTGCTTGATCGAGATTTGAACCATGCCGAAATCAAAATCTTATCCCGTCGGATTCAATTCCATTATCCCCAGGACCTTTCACATTTTGTGCTACATTATTGGATAAAGACTTCACGGCTGGCTATCGGCTCCAGCCGATGGCCCCGTCCCACGATGCTCCCACGATGATCAATTTCCCTTTTGTATGCATTCATGTAACCCGCTTCCGATCGGATTAGACGAGCATCATGGGGACCTATTCTGGCATTTTCTATCGCTTACTAGACTAGAGGATTACCGGGGGGGTTCTTCACAATTGCCCACTTGCCAAAATACTCAAACATGCATCCGCAATACGGTAGTAGATCGGTTTTGATTTCCGATGGGATAAGGGGGGGGGGGGGTTCCTTTCCTGTTTTCCAAGCTAAGCCTCGAAGAAGAATCGACCCCGAGACTTGGAGTTTTGAGGAGCTCCAAAAAAGACGGGGCCCGCTTTCCCAACCCGCAACCAGGAACAATCAACACTGAACAGAGAGAGGGAGAACAAAAAAAAATGAAAAATGAAAAATGAAAAAAGCAGAGACGGAAAAGACGAGCAGAAGGCCCTTTTCAGCGGAAGTGGAGCTTAATCCAATCACGCCATTTCAATCTAGTGAGTCTAGGACTCTAGAGCCAAGCTCGGTACGTAGTAGTTCGAATATATTCATTACCAGTTAGCACTGCTGACTACGGCCAATGCTAATTGCCAAGCACCACATACAACCTGAGCACTTTTAGCGAGTGTACTGCTTCTGCAACAGCTTGGCGATGGTCTGCAGCTGGATGTTGCTCGTGCCCTCGTAGATCGCCCCGATCTTGCTGTCCCGGAACATTTTCTCGGCGATGCCTTCGCGTACGAAGCCCATTCCTCCCATCCACTCGACCGCGGAGCTGGACACGCGCCCGGCGACCTGCGACGCGTACAGCTTGGCCATGGCGGCGTCGTGGACGAAATCCTGGCCGGCCTCCTTCTTCCGCGCCGCGTTGTAGACCAGCGCGCGGGCGGCGGCAATCTCGGTATACGCCTGGGCCAGCTGGTGCTGCATGCCCTGGAAATTGCCGATCAATTGGCCGAATTGTCGGCGGTCGTTCCAGACGTACCTGTATCAATCATGGTCAGCGAATTGATCCCTGCAGAACGCTTGGTGACGGAAGTGAAATAAAAGATACGGTGGGGAATTCGAGCGATGGGAAGATAATTTGATGGGGATAGGGGGGGGGAAGGGAAATCCTCTTACTGGGCAGCATTTTCCCAAGCTCCCAGCGCTAGGCCGGTCATTTGAGCCGCAATACCAATGCGACCCTCATTCAGCACGCTAATTGCGTACTTGTATCCCTGACCCTCCTCACCCAAGAGGTTACTCTTCGGGATGACGACATCATCAAAGTTGAGCACACAGGTACTGCTGGCGCGGATGCCGAGTTTCTTCTCTTTCTTGGCGATCGAAAAGCCGGGAGTATCCTTCTCAACGATGAACGCGGTGATGCCCTTGTACCCTTGGCTGGGGTCGAGATTGGCAAAGACGATGAAAATGCCGGACTCCATGGCGTTGGTGATCCACATCTTGGAGCCATTGAGCTTGTAACCCTCGGCGGTCTTCTCGGCCTTGGTCTGCAAGGCGAAGGCATCAGAACCGGAAGCCGGCTCCGAGAGGCAAAAGGAGCCCACGGTGCCGGTGGCCAGCCGGGGCAGCCAGGTGCGGCGGGCCTGGGCGTCGCCGTACTTCATGATAGCGGTGTTGACCAGGGTGTTGTGGACGTCGACCAGCACGCTGACGCTGGGGTCGACACGCGCCAGCTCCTCGATGGCCACGATCGCCGCCGTGAAGTTCATCCCCGCCCCGCCGTATTCCTCGGGGATTTCGATGCTCATCAGCCCTTGCTCGAACAGCTGCTCCACCACCGCCGCGTCCATCGTCTCCGCCTCGTCCATCTCCCGCACCTTCGGGCTGATCTGCTCCTGCGCGAACTTGGACACGCTCTCCGCCATCAGGGACTCCGTCTCGGACAGGAAGGTAATCGGGGTAGGCGTCAGCCCGGAAAGGTCGACGTCCCGCCGGCGGGACGTGGTGGAGAATGCTTGGGTACTGCTGATCGGACGGAATGTCCCGGTTAGTTTCTTGAGTTCTATACCAGTGGTTGGACACCTCGCGTATAACCTCATACCTAGGAAGAACTCGGGTCCGCAACGGCTGTCTTGTCGTAATAAGGCGGGCGGAAGCAGCGGTGCGGGACAAAGGCCGCAATACGCGGGAGAGACTTGTCATTGTGATTGTGGGAGTGTGGTATATTGGGTATATTTTAGCTGGCTAATAACGAAACAAGACTGAATCCAGCAGGAGATAACGATGGCGGGGTGGGTTCTTTGAGGTGCGTGTCAAGGAGATAGCGAGGAGAATAGAAATGGGGAACGGGGAAAGGGAAGCCAGCGTTCTGGGGAATTGGCCGGGGATCACGAGGCCGAGGTATTTCGAGCCTCGGCTAAACGCGGCGTTCCCATGGGTTGGTTTAATCCAACTGCAGATCATCCGTCCGACAAAGATATTCATTCTTCATCATTCCATTCCCCCGCACGTTATGGGACAGCATCATCTTGCATCTTGCAGAGTTACCACAGGAATGGAAACGCTATGCTCTATTGTCGCTATGAATATACTATACTAATCTATATATTAAAAAAATAACACCAAATCAAAACAAAAACAAAAACTCCAAATCAAACAGAAAATGACTTTCAAAATCATCAACCCTAAACACCCAATCACACGCAAAACACCTTGGCGGGATCGAATTTGATGGACTGCGCAAAGTAGTACCCCCTCTGGTTCGCCACAATCCGCTTCCCGGACCGATCGTCCGTGAAGTCGCAGTTGTAATGCGTATGCCCGAACGCCCACAGGCGCACCTGCGGTCGCTCCCAGCACGGCTCTCCGATGAGGTCCGTCGCGAACGCCGACGTGATCGGACTGTCGGCGTAGCGCGGGTCCACGGCCGCCACCGCGACGGTCGGGCTGTGATGGCTGAAGATGACGATGCGATGATGCGGATCGTCACGGGCGATGTCGGTGACCTGGTCGTTGAGCCAGGCACGCTCGGCCTCGTGGGCCGCACGGTGCTGCTCGACCGTCCAGTCCTGGATGTAGTGAAAGTCGTTCAGGGCGTGGCTGACGGTCTCCTCCTGATCCTCACTCACGCGCGAGTGGAATGTACAGCCCAGGACTGTCACCTGGGGCGTGAGGCGGTACCGCGTGCGATCGAGGAGGACGAACTCCCCCAGCTGCGACGACGTCGTCGCTGCCCTTTGGCGCCGGTCCTGGATCTTCTCGGAGAATTGCTGCAGGCGTTCGCGTGTGGCCGGCCAGCTGGCATCGAAGGGCTCGTGGTTGCCCAGGACGAGGAAGACGATCTTGAAGCGGTGAAGCTGGGCTTCGAGGAATTGCAGGTAGCCATCATCTTTGACGTTGCCGATGTCCCCCAGCAGGGCTAGGTAGGGCGCGGTCGGGGTGATTCCGAAGAGGTCGTATGCTCGCGGGTTCTCGAGGTGTAGGTCGGAAAGAATCTGGAACTGTGCCATGCTTGTGGGGGAGAAGGAAGCGCTGGCTCAGTGCGATTCGATGTCCAGATCGCTTGTAGGATGGGCTGGCTAGTAGTAGCGCAATGACTTACAATACGGTCGGAGGCCAGTGCTTAAGCGCCCGGGGATGCTAAAAAAAAAAAGGTCCTTGTAGCCGCTGGTCGGTCTCAATTACCACGGATAGTGATTTCAGGCGATTCGAAGTCTTGATTGGAAGGACTTGGACAATTCGCCTCTTGGGACGCTCTTCTGTTGAAATCGTTGGGGTGGTGGTGAAGTACACGTACTGTACACATCAGGTACGTTGGGCCTGTGTAGGTCAGTTGTTGCCCTTTCCCAACCACTCACAGCTCGCCTTATCAACCGGTGGCGGTGCCGGAGGTGATTGACGTGTGGCGCAGCAGGCGCTAGGAGGCGTCGGGTGCTTATGTCATTCCAGGGTCTGACGTTCATTCATCCATCCACTCATTCATTTCATTCCCTGATGGATCCATCCCACGCTGGCACCCCTCCCCCATGACGGACTTGGCCAGCCATGAGGGACAGAGGCGCTGTGTCTAGCTATTTATGGCCTTCCTCCCTGGTGGCAGGTTTCTATCAATTCTTCCGTTCTCTGCCTACTTGAGAATTACCCCTCTGATTCAACCCTCGTTACTTATTTCACCTTCATCGCGACTGTGTCTGGTCCATTATCGGCTCCCCTCCCCCGCATTACCGACACCTTGTCCCCACCTGACGTCGACAGCCCTCGCGCTTTTTCTTTAACCTTAACCCTTCGTCACAACCGGTCCAGAGTCAACGGAGTTGCAGCCATGGCTTCGACCGTGCATGACCCAAGACTTCTGTACAGTATTGACAACATTCGAGCCTTTCACATCCAGAATGGCGAGGAGTCAGAGCTCACTCCGTCGGGGCCGCAAACACTTTCCCTGTTGATGGTTCCGACCAAGACCGCTATCCCCGGAAGCTCGTTCCCCGTGCCCTCCCAGGATGCACTCACAGAGGATGACTTCTATCTTCATCTAAATCTGCCACCGGAGCTGGATTTGGCTCTCCCCGCTACCACCCAGATTTTCCACCAGCCGCCGAATAGCTACCTAATCCCTCGTTGGGATCTGGGTCCTGATGCAGGAGCCTTTATTCGCATCCAGTTTCCCTCCATCGGACATGGGCCTGACAAGGTGACACAAGAGGATATTGACACCTTTGAGACGATCCTCGCTCAATACACTGCATTCCTCGACCGCGCACCTCCAGCTGGGGACCATGCTCCATACAACCCCTCGACGTATGCGCCCGGTGAGGGATATGTCTCATCTGCCGCTTCTCCCGGGGGTGATGCGCATGGTAGGATTGTTCTGGTCGATGAGGAGGATGGCAGTGTGGTGGGTGAGATGGAGGGCTATGACGTTGTGGAAAGGCCGGACGTCAAACCCGGCTCGAAGAGTAGGTGATTCTATACTGCACGGCTTAGCCCCGATATTTGTGGTCGCAACATGTTTCTAACATCACTAGGGCCCGTGGAGATTGAGCTTCCTTCCGAAGGCGAAGGCAACAAAGTCAATGTCAGCAACGTGTCCGAGGAGTATCTGCGTATGGCACGTCACCCGGCTTACCAGAAGTCGACCATCGTCCAGACTTCTGCGAAGGCTTCGCGTTTGATTGTCACCGGGTCTACATACCTGGCCAATGCGCTTACGAGTGGTGCCGACACCTTCACAAGGAAGACAAGGCCAAACCCGAAGCCGATGACCTTTTCGGAGACCACCCACTCGCGCATCCGCAAGGTTGGCACCTTTTCTGAGGGCGCCGCCGACCTCTCGGCCAAAACTGTCGGCCAGGTTGGGAGATATGCCCAAAATATTGGGGCATCGCTGGCCCGCCGGAACAACACGGAGCGACAAAGGGGTATCGATAAGTATGGCAGTGAGTATAAGCCCGGGATTCTGAATAAGTCCTTGATCGCGTTCTCGACTCTGGCGGACGGCATTGAGCAGGGTGCCCGGCACGTCTTGACCTCTAGCTCGAACGCTGCCACCACTGTGATTGGACACCGCTACGGGGATCAGGCCGGGGCTGTGGCATCCAATCTGACCGGCGGTGTTAAGAACGTCGGGCTGGTTTACATCGATGCCTCGGGTGTCAGCCGCAAGGCTTTCCTCAAGTCTGTCGCCAAGGGCATGGTTGTTGGGCGGATGCGTGACGGCAAGCAGGTGGTTGTTGGTACCGGTGATGGCGGTGAACTCCCTGCTCAAGCGAGTGGCAGTCAGGCACAGGCCTCCTACGGAGGGAGAGCGCCGTCGCCTACTCCGACCCCGCCACCCGCGTACAGTGCCGCGGGGGGCGCATCCTATGGTCGGGCTTCAAATACCGGGGCGAGGAGGTGATGCGGTCGTCTGTTCGGTCCCTGCTTATTCATGTTCTAATGCGGTGATGATCTGATGAAGTTCGATTTTCGGATGCCGTGGGGGCAAAGTCTAATGCGGCTTTTATGCTCACGCTGTTGGTCTAGTTGTGGTTCTATCATTGTTAACGTGTTAATGTCGCGGTCTTCTTTCATTCTGTCGTTGTAATCTCTATCGGCTATTGGCCATGCGTACTGTGCTCGGTCATCTACCAGGTTGGGCAAGCGGCACACTCTTTCGCTGTCGCAGGGTATCTCGTGGTAGACTGGTATTGTTCCGAGTAAACCTCTGTATGATTACGATTTCGGGGCAAGAATGGAGAGGGCGGGGGAAGGGGGAGCTGCTTCGACTTTCACATGCGCATTACACCCAGGTGCATGTGATGATGACGATGACTTGGCTTGGCCGGGTTACTACCTTTGCTGCGATACCTTTGGGTGTGACGGGGAGATTAGAATTTGGATTGGAGGGGCACGGTGTGGTGCTTTGTCCTTTTGGGTTTTGTTATTTTCCAAACGACATCTGTTATGTGGGATTCTTGGTGCGGTGTGAGAGGTGGGCTGCCACTCTTGCTGTGGTTGTGGTCGCGATGTGGGTGGTGTGGTGGGATTGTGTCGGTATGGTCAGGTTGGGGCTCTGTGTATTGGTGGTGATGCAGGCTTGATTCATCCCAGTGCCTGTGCAGTTGTTGGTGTCTGTTTCGTCCAACACAAAGTACGCAGGTGCATACCACATGGGCAGCCCACCGTAGATATATAGTGGACGACGAATGCCGGAACCGGCGCCTTATGTATCCAAGCGTGTGAAGAGACAGCACGCGACCAGTATACTTCAGTAGCCATGCAAGAGACAGCCTTATACAGCATAATCTACAGTTACCACTAGCTATATCGCAGACGTACATATATGAAGAATACCCCATGATGCTTCGGTTACTCAAACCGTTTATGTTTAGGACTATAGTACAAACTTATGCGTTCCAGATTCATGAGAATGACAATATGGCCGAGCGGTCTAAGGCGATAGACTAGAAATCTATTCTCTTCGGAGGCGTCGGTTCAAATCCGACTGTTGTCGTTTTTTTCGCCCGGCCCACCATCCCCATTCCCTAGACTAAAATGGATCACCCATGTATGCTAGGCCTGATGCTAGCCCAATCCTAGCCCCGCACATTGCCGCCACAGTATATGAGTACGCAGCAGTGGTAGATACAGTCCAGCAGGCGGGGTTATTGATGGCCGCAAAACTGGTACTCCTGCTGCCGGCAAACAGGACACGCCATACAGTAGTGGGAAAGTAGCACTGACCGGAAGTCAACAGAATCAATCCCTTATGATAGGCAAGCTAACGCACTAATTGACAACCCCAATCAGAACTGGGAAGTCTAGAGCGACTGTTCACCACTAAGTTACTAGGTACACAGTAGACTACGGAATATCCATACCATATATGGATAGGTGGGCAATGTTGACCTATTCAATCCGCTACATGCGCTACACCATTGACAAACAAAAGAGCCGCACTATCTCCAAGTCATAACCACACCCGCATCATTCAATTGCTTGATTTAGACCTGCAAAAGATAGGAGGACACTATGCCTATGCTCCGCCGTTATAGCGGGTATATCCTTGGGTAGCGGAAGCATTATTCATCAAAGGCAGTATGGCCGAGTGGTTAAGGCGATAGACTTGAATTAATATTGAAATCTATTCTCTTCGGAGGCGTCGGTTCAAATCCGGCTGCTGTCGTTCTTTTTTGCTGCTCACCCCCGCACTAGCGCCTCTTTGGTGGGTCGGTCCCATTGTGGTCACCAGTCAGTCCTGCCTTCCTGCCCTGTCCCTGTCTGTGCAGAAGACAATTAAACATCTTCTCTTCCAGGTTTGCGCTGATAGTGCATCTATTCACTTATTCACACCTGTTCTTCTTCTTCTTCTTCTTCTTCTTCTTCTATTTTTTTACATTGATCGCAGTGTTTCCATGACAAGCTGCAAATATATTAAGAACATCTCTAAGTAAGGTTCATTAACGTTACCAATGACGCAGTGACGAGACACCACTCCCCATCTGCTGATTCCTCTGAATTACCTCCAAGAACTAGCGAACAAGTCCCTTAGCTATGATATCTGTCATTTAACAAGACAGTATGGCCGAGCGGTCTAAGGCGATAGACTAGAAATCTATTCTCTTCGGAGGCGTCGGTTCAAATCCGACTGCTGTCGTTTTTTGTTCCTTGTTTCTGTATCCTGCCAAGGCGGAATAATATCCATCACAGCACCCATCAGTGTGAAGGCAGCTTCTCTGTGCCCTAACCAATACAGTCGATGGCATGCGCCTCACAGGTCATCGCCAACCAATGTTTAGGTGCCTAAAGTCCCAAGGTTGAAATCGCAGGTGAGCTGATTCCATTCCTGCCATTTTTTTTTGGCAAATTCTCCGAGCTGTATACTTCCTAGTAGGTAGTGCCAAATCGTGGTAGAGTGTTCCAATTGACTATTCGTCCTTGTACGCGAAACAACTCTGGCGTTCAGCGGCATTGATTTGCGAGGCTCGCTCCGTCCCCAGCCTGCTCCAATCAATAAGCAGTTCCTTGACCACGGCATGAGAGGCCCTTCGACAAGGTCCTGGATGGCTGCTTAGCCCATTGCTTCACACGAATTGGGGGTCTGTCTCTCAAGGGAAGTGCTATTTTTTATGAGAAAGGTATGGTTATGGAAGATGGTTGACCCCCATGGTCATTGCTGTTGACCTGGATGCAAGCGCGCTCTACTAGAAGGAGTTGTGCCCACAGGGGTCCGGTTTTCAGCCTTTCATGCACAGTAAGACTGATGTTTGAGCCAAGTGACCTGACAATGCGTGCTCTCAAGAGAAAGGGTCAGAATTTACTAGTG